TTGGGGGGGGGTTTCTGCTTTTGTATGAGTTTTACCTACTATATTATGCATAAAAATGAACAGATTGTTTTGCCTTTCCTTTTTATTCCTGTAAATATATCAATAAATGTAGAAGTTCCATAAAAAAACGGACAAAACAACAAGACTCAAACACCGTTTGCAGTTTATTTGAACAACGAACGTTGTTACGTATACCTCAGAAGCCTCACCACCAAAAAAGAAACACCTCCTCTTCACTAGGTCACCGAGAGCCGGACACTCAGACAGAACCCATATGATTCATGATTCAGACATATCTAATGGCCAATTCGTCTGGAGTGCAGTATGCTCCTTCCACTTTAGCACACGAAAGACTGGCGGGGAGAGAAGGAAGCTCCCCTCTCCCCTCTAGCCTTCCGTGTACCACGAACCGCACTACACCGGTGCGATGCGGGCCCAGACGAATTGGCCATTAATGATTCACACCAACCAGCCACCCTGATGACCTCGCTTGAGGGCTGACCAGCCACATGCGATAACAGGCAACTCCAGCTCCAGCACAGCCCTTACAATTCTTAGAAAACAGACACAAAAACGCTTCATATCACTGTCCAATGCCAAGGACGGTGTGCTTACTCAATTACCAGAGGTCAAAATACGCATGGTCTCCCTCAGAACTCTCTTACCATTGCTGATTGTTGGGCGAGTTGGTACTGTGCGTGAGAAAACATGATTGCGCTTTAAGACATAGACAGAGGAAGAACACCACAGAGCGCTTACTTTCAACTGATTTAATTCAAGAGCCTCAGCGTAGATACACACTGCGTAACCGCAGCACATCTCAACCAATCCGTGGCCCCGCCGCGGACCGCAGATACACTATCTCTTTTTCTGCAAAGTCAATTGAAACCACGCATGACTGCAGGTGCAAACCATTATTTGCTTCTTCCACTGTTCTCGCTAGGCACAAAGATAAGACTGTTAGAGAGATAATTGAGGCGGACGCCATCAATAGTTTCGGCACGTGTTGTGCACGTGTTTTTTTCTGGCACCCCTGAGGACCACTCGAAAAGGAGGTTAACCTTTCTAATTTGTGCTGAGCTTTGAAAACTAAATTTACACCGAACCTCTCTGCCACTGATATAAAGTTATGAGATTCCAAGGTAGTAAGGCACACACACAACATTCTTTACAACCGGTTTTTTTACAGGAGCCGGATTAAACGTACGTTCCTTACACCTTGAGCACAACTGTAACAATCCCATCCTGGTGTAATTGTTAAAATGGTTGTGAACGAAAATTGAGCTTGGCAGGAGGTGTTGTCGGTTTTTATCTAGAAATGCCTGACAGGAATGGAGCAACAGCCCATTGTCAATCAAAAACTCTGAGCAGCTGATTGAAATATTGAATCCGCATCATGGGAGAAGGTGCAATGTGACAACTGTAGACATCAAGGACTTATGTTACTCTATGGATAAGTGGGAGCTGTTAATAAGGGTCAGGAGGTGGTGTGATGATAATCTAGTGAAGTTGCAGTCTGCCACTGGGATTGATGTAGATAGTTTTATCAGCATTCTGAAGGTTCATTTAGAGTCCACTGCCGTAAACTTTGATGGTTCTCTTTTTATTCAAAAACAGGGTGCGTGTATCGGGTCGTGAATTGCTCCAGTGTTGTCCGAGATTTTTTTTTAAAACGAGACTTATGTACACGCTGGCTCGGTTGTGCGGTCCTTGTCGATTGGACCGCACGACCCTGCCATCGCAACAGTCGAATTAAGTACTTATAGACCTACTGTTGCACACGGAAATGGGCCTGTGCTGGAGGTACGGCAAGGAATCAGGCAAGCCTCTGTTGGCAGCTGACAGCTGTCACTTGAAAATAGTTAAGAGTGGTGTAATTGCGTCTGCGATGGATAACGCCTGTATAGAGAATCCCGTATGTTTCGGGTTGGTGAGGCAGTTGAGTTGCAAAAGATGCGTCGTTTAGAAGCGGGCCATCACCACGATGTAATTGTTAGAGTTGTTTTCAAGGTCCTGAAGGTTTAATCCGGCTCCTGTGGAAAAACCGGTTGTGAAGAATGTTGTGTGTGTCCCTTACTACCATGGAATCTCTCATAACTTTATATCAGTGGCAAATATGTTCAAAGTAAATTTAGTTTTCAAAGCTCAGCACAAATTATAAAGGTGAACCCCCTTCCTGGTGGTCTTCAGGGGCGCCAGAAAAAAAACATAAGAACACAGATGTAACTTTTCTTGCAGGAGTGGTGTACGGGACCCTCTCATTTCGTCGAAACTCGTTTCGTGGAATTTCGTATCGCAGACAACTTTTCATGGGCACACGTTTCACGGACACACGTTTTGTCGACACGATCGTTTCATCAACACTCGTTAAGCGAATCAGTGAACGCTCTAGGGACATCTCGTCATGCGTGTATCATTAGTAAGGGTTCTGATGGTGTTGCCTGTTATCGCATGTGGCTGGTCAGTCATCAAGCGGGGTCGCCTGGGTGGCAGGTTGGTGTTACCATGAATCCTTTGGATTTGTCTGAGTGTCCGGCTTTCAGCGACCTACACTAAAAAAAAGGGTGTATTCTTACACTTTTAGTCCCCTATAAGACACCCCAAAATTTCAGACGTCGATCTGACGGAACTACCTATCACGAGAGGCTTGATAGCCGTGTGGTACAACTTATTAACATAGCTAATGTACGTGTTACTGACTACAAAAAAGATAATCGAGGTTTTCTTGGCCCTACTGCAAAACCTCAGTGTTTTCTTTCTGTGGTCTTTGATACGTACTTTAGCTATTTAATCAGTTATATCGCTCCGTTGTCAAGCCCCTTGTAAACTGTATGGCCGTCTGTGCGCTGTGCGTCAAACTAAAGTTTTGGGGTGCGTTATATGGGACAAAAGGGTGTATAGTGAGTTCTTTTTTGGTGGTGAGGGTCTTGACGTATCTATAAGAGCGTTCCTTGATCAAATAAACTATACCCGTTTTTTCAAGAAAAAAAAAAGGTAGTTTTGAGCATTTATTTATTTATTAAAGTACCATCAGGTCCCGAAGGCATTAAGGAGGGGGAGAGCACATACATGAAACAAAGATCTTCGTATATACGCGACGCGAAGTCTTACGACATTTGGTTGTCGGAGAAAAAAGCGATGATTTTGGCGCTGGAACGTGTACGTCTTGATAATATACATAGTAGAATCCAGCTACATATATCTTAATTCTCCACATAAAGGTGGAAATTAGTAATGGTTCGCGAGGAGTGGGACTCTTTTTACTAGAGTTCTTGACGTGAAAACGGGTATAAAAGCATTGTTTGAGACTTGTCTTGTGTGTTATTTTTATCGTTTCGTGTCTCCCGTTACAATGGAAGTTCTTCACCAGCTCGCCTGTGTTTTTAAAGTGTTATAACGGAATGAACGGTTTTGTAAACCGCAAAACGATTTAATGAAAACTTTGTGAAATAATTTGATACAAGAGGGCTATATGCGCGTCCGTTTTCAGGCTTCTTTCATACGTATTTTATTTTGATCCACACGCCTGGCTTGTTCCTGTCACATCGTGTTTCTAGGGTTCCTCCTTTCTCGTTTCCACGCCGGGATCCAGCATCGGGGGTCGAAGTCGAGCCCCCATCCGGTCGAGTCGGGGAGGCTCTCCTTACGGGTCTTTGCCGCCAGCCTATTTGGTTACACTCCAGAGCTCAAAATCCTTGCGCCCTCGCACATTAATGTTGTCATGATCCTCTGTTATGCGTCTAGCCATCGTGGAGGGCGGCGTCGGCGTGATGCGCTTGCAATCGGAGGATCTGCCGCGGTGCAAGGCGAGTTGGTTGAAATCGACGTCAATCGCTGCAGGTTGTTCGTGAAACAGAAAAAAAAAAAAAAAAAAAAAAAGAGCTATCGTGCGGCAGCTTGGCAGCAATCCGGTGTGTTTTGCGGGGTAAAGCCGGAAATGGTGTAGGCTTGCTTGTTCACAGGCCAAGTTTCGAGGTAGGAAGGCCGTTCGTGTACCATACCGTCCCTGACGCTGTATGGAGCTGGTCGATGTTTTGCATCGTACGCTTCATGACATGAAGGTAAGCGAGGTTCGCGTTTGCAGCGTCGCAGTTCGCGCGGGCGTCGCCGACCTCGTTGACCTCGTCGGGAAGCGGGGAAAATTCCACTGGTCGACGTGGGACAAAGATGAACAGGAGTTCGAACGGTGATGTCTGGAGTCCGGCGTACGGCTGCTGGTTCACTTGATAGCTGGTTGCCTGGAGATAATCGCTTCAATGGTCGATGTCGCCGTTGACGTTCATTCGCGCAGACATGGAAGGATTTTTCCGTTGGCGCATTCGACAAGGCCGTTAGCTTCGGGAGCGTAAAGTACTGTTAGGGATGCTCTGAATATGCCTGTCGGCGAAGAACCGCGAAGCCGAACGAGAGGTTAGGACCCTGTCGTTGTCGGTGATGACGGCTTCCGGCGTACCGAATGAGAGTACGAGTTCTATAAATCGAAGGACGTGCTCGGTCGACTTGTTAGGCACGGGGCGTGCGACAAGCGCGTGGTGAGGTGGAACGCGGTGATAAAATACCTGTTGTCGTCGGTCCTCGTGCTGCGGAGGATCTTGCGCCGCGGCTGCCAGCCGGCGACATATTCTCTTACAAACGAGAGTAAACCAGACGCCGAAGTTCCTGATTCTTCTAACGGACGCAATCTTCACCAGCGAAGGCAATGCATGCCTCTCCAGAAAAAAAAAAAAAATAAAATAAAAAAGTGTGTTTCTATTTATGGTATTTGCATCTTGTTTTCCAAATTCAAACGACTACTTTCTCTCTCCCCCTCACTCTCTAATTTACTCCCCCCCTCCACTCCCTCCCCTCCCTCCCCTCTTACGCGCCACGCCGCCGCCAATCCGTTGATCCCCGCGCCGTCAACGCCGTCAACACGCCGCCAACAGGCGCTTGAGGCGCTTGAGGCACTCGAGGCGTGCGCAGCCAACACCACCTGTGTTGTTGGCGCAGCGTGTGTGGTGTGCGCGAGGCTGGCGTGTTGGTGGTTTTTGAGAGTTGTTCAAAACGGTTTATTCTTTTTTTGTACGAAAACAGTGTTTAAAACTCGAAATGTCGGTATCAAACGGTGACCTGGCAGCGAAGATAGAAGATCTGTAAGTAGCTATACGCTGCTCGCGGCAGAACCAACTCAGGTTGCCCGTGTTTATTCGGCCCAGGAGCAGTCTTGTGCCCAACAGACTCTGTGTCGCCGACAGTTGCCGAGAACGCCGCACGAAAAGGGACGATTATCTGCCGTGGCAGGACTACTTCATGTCTTCGGCCTACCTGGCCGCTATGAGGAGCAAGGACCCCAACACGCAGGTAGGTGGTCGCTCTCGCTATGTGATGCTGCCCTTCGAAGTCCGTTGCTGGGAAATTGCTGGGGCAACTTTCCCAGCAATTTCGGTGTTGCTGGCGAGTTGGTTCTTAGCTTTTCCTAGTGCGACACGAATTGCTCGAATCGCGTCGGGCTCGAAACAGACGAGCAACTCGGACAACTCAAAAGAAGACGTTTGAAGCGGCAGCAGCCAATCAGGGACGTGATATTTTCGCGTGCCACGGGCCCGTGCCGGTGATGATAACAACTAAAAACATTGCTCGGGTTTGAAATTGATCGTTATTTAGAATAAACTGTTTCAGAAAGGTGACAACTCCAGTTAAAATATCAATAACTCGCGTAACTGTGTGTCTATATAGACGCACCATTATGCAAGAAATATAATTTAATTATGATGATGGAAAATTGAAATTGCTTGGTAGTCTGGCAGCACTGAGAGCATCGTCATTTTAATTAGGGGTGTCGCGAACTTTTGTCGAACCAGATTTTTAGGTCGAACTTTCGGGGTTCGACTGGGTCGAGCCGGTTCGACGAACCTTCGAACTTTTCACCAGATTCGACCGGTCCCACTTTGTCAGGGGGGTAAAGGTGGGTGAGGAGGAGTGGCAAATCCCGTGCGCCGACATCCTGGGTCCCGAGTGAACGATCGCAAAAGAGAGCGACAGAACACGAGAGAAAGAAAGCAACGTTGCCATGGTAAACGCGAAGAGTGAAAACTCTCAGCAATATAAACAGTGATAATTTAACGTTGTAAACTAAATCCTGAGCTATTCTAACGCTTATAAAAAGCAATAAAGTCATTACGCTGCATTAACTTCCCTTCTGTCGAAATCTCGGAAATCTGGTGGTTGCGCAGTTTCGTATTCCTCAACCGCGCCCAGCCGCGCCCCACCTGCGAAGCCGGGTATGTGGTTTAGTTTAGCGTTAACGCGAGGCCGTACATCTGCGCGCTATGCAAAAAGAAACCTTCGAAAGGAACTCGAGTATCTTTCCACCGGTAAGTTCGTGGATTGTTGAAGTTCACGAAACTGCTCTGATGATGTAACCGTGTTTGGGACCCAGAGGGTCTGCCTGCATGGTCCGCCGCTTGCGGCAGCCAGAATGTAAGGGAAAAAGGCGGACCTTTTCCTCTAGATTTAGTATATGATCTCTATGCACTTTGTGGACACTGTGGCCAGACCTTGACCTTGGCATGTCTAGGTTTGGAGAACTTTTTTTGTATGCAATGGGTTATTTTATTTTATGAACAGTTGCAATTAAAAGAAATCAATTTTTGTCACTGAAGAAGTTAATAACTTAATTTTTTGTACTGAATTAACTGAAAGAACCAATCAGCGCTGCCCTTGATTCATCACCTTAGCCATCACCATCCAATCCGAAGCCAACTGGTCAGCCTGTCGCGCATGCGCACACGAGTCGAACCTCAATGCAAGGTTCGCCGAACTTTTCAGTAAAAGTTCGAAAAAGTCGAACCTGGTCGAACTCGAACCGCGGCCGGTTCGCGACACCCCTAATTTTAATGTTGGCAAGCACTGATGTCTATTTTAGTAGGCTGGACCACGGATCGGGAGCCCGTCGGTGTCGCCACCGGCGGCCATTGCTTGACACCAGGCAATACACGCAAGTCTATGGGGGAAACGCACAAAAGTAAGAATATTGCAGCATGTGCGCTGTGCTCGGAGGCGAGTATTTTATGGTGTGCTGCGATCCTTATGTCGAGTGTTTGGAGATCGAATCGGTATTAGTCAAACGTTCGAACGCCGATTAAAAAAAATCAAACGTACCGGAGCACCTACGGCTGAGCTGGTAAGCCTGCTCTCGTAGTGCAATAAACAAACAAAACTTGCCGTCAATGAGACCTTCCTCGGGGAAGCTCAGAAGTTGATGAATGACAAAGAAGTTCCATCTCGACAGCGGCTTTCCTGGAGTGAGCGAATTCCGCGTAGCAAAACCTTCAAGCTTGCCGTCTGCTAAACCTAACTCAACGAGACCACCACCGACTCCACGGTAACTCTAGGTAACTCTCGCCGCATTGAGCTGCACTACAGCGGAGTCACTCTCGACCACAAAATATTTATTTATAAGAACTGCGAGGGCTGCCAGTTTTAATATTTGTACGCAAGCTATTTGACCGGCTTATCGAAAAGCATCCAAAACGTTTCGGTGCGGACAACAACTTAGAAACGGGGGAAATGGCACTTTTTCTCGTTCTTCCCATAGAGTCCCATGCATTGGCTGGTGTCAATCAATGGCCGCCGGTGGCGACACTCGGCCCCAGCTGCCGAAGCCGCGGTCCGCGATCCAGACTACTACAATAGAGATCAGTGGTCGTCGTGAAGCACCGTGAATAAATCTGAGACATTTGTACGGGTAGTGCGCGATGGCGATTCAGCTGTGTTTTCCCCCTTCCGACCATGGAATGTGAACGAACAGCTTAAAGGGATACTACAACGAAATTTCGGCGCTCATTTTTTGGTCTATGTGTGTTCAAAAAAGCACCATCAAATCGAACATACCAATATCTTGTTAAAAAAGTCACGAAAAGGAATTTAAAAACGAATGAAAGGATTAGCAAAGAACACCTGGTGGATGTCGCTAACGCCTCGCTTGTAATGCCCGTCTAGGAACCTTGACAGCTAGTGACGGAAGTTGTCTCGTCTCCGGCCACGACGAGAGAAGGGGGGCAGGAGGAACTCCCCTCTTCCCGAGAATGCCTATTGTGTGTCGCAGAAGTCGCTATTGTCCCCCTACAAGATTATAGAAGATTATTAACCCGTCACTCAAAATTCGTACAAAAGCAGCCGCTTCGGTGGCTGGAACGACTAGGCCATCCTCTCGACGTCAGCCTCGCCGTAGCTTTGCTCGTCTTGAGACGACCTACGTCACGATTGCGTTGGATGTCACGTGGTCTCCGCTGGGCCTTCTCCGAGTGCTTGCCAGAGTGGGCCGTTTACAACGAAAAATACAGCCACCAGGCACAAAATACAAACGTGCGATTGTCATTTACGGATATTGTGGATCATATTCAACCTATTTTTTAACACAACGGGAATATTTCAAATTTCGTTGAAGTATCCCTTTGAACAACATACTGCAACTGTCGGACGAAACCGATGGAGCCCTGTGCACACTGCTGCGCCATCGCACACTGCCCATACGGTTGTCTCCAATGCCTCCCCGTGCTTCGGTAGTGACAATGCTTGCCAACATTAAAATGGTGACGCTTTCAGTGTTGTCAGATCACCAAACAATTCCGCATAAGGTCTATTGGTTGCTGCGTTTGAACACAGAATGTCCGCGTTGCTGCTGTTATGACGCCAAGTTGCTACAAGAAATTGCCCCGTCTAAGGCGGGATGTGCATTTGATTTCGCTAATACCGCAATACCTTTGCTCTAGTCACGGTGTAGGAAGGCTCTTTAGGTGTAGAGACTCCGCTCTCCGCCGCGACCAGATAATGACACCCCGCGCGCTCGGCTTCACGGAGCCACCCCCAGATGGCGCCGTAAGTTTCAGGCCATCCGGCAGCGCACCGGGCCACCTGTGCTAGCTGCCTGCTCGGCGTGCAGCTTGCTTTCCGGTGGCTACAGGTTCGCGTACGATGTGGTATGTAGGTGGGGCCATTCAACTATCATCTCTCTCAGCACACTGAAGTTTTCATGACCCAAAAAATGGCAGACGGACAAACAAGAGTAACTCCCTAATACGAGCCGACGCGGCGGTCTACGAGTGAAAAAGAAATATCCCTCTCCTGTAGATAATTTCTAGCCCAGCTTACATTCCGTCGTTGGTTTCCTCAGTAGCGCAATAGTAACGTCGGGAAGCGTTTGTAAAATGAATAAACTCTGATTGTAGCGCAGGTAAACGATAACTTGAGACAAAAATAAAGAATGATTAACACAAATCTTGTTAACGGATAATAAGGAACTGAATTGCTTTAAGCACCGTTCACATAACTTGTCTATATATATATATATATATAGACAAGTTATGTGAACGGTGCTATATATATATATATATATATATATATATATATATATATATATATATCGGGTTCGCAAATTACCGTTGATTCAACTGGACTGTAAAAAAAAATTTTTTTTTTCAACATGTGGGGCAGCTAATGCGATTATTCTTTTACATTTTAAGGCAGCCTTTGAGTCCCGCTAAATTGAACTGCTGGCCGAATTGGCACAAAGTTACACATTTTGCACACAGGCATTAATGAAAGCAGCATTCTTTGAAAGGTTCACGTTGTTAGTACACTTACATTTGCATGTAGCAGATTGCAGCAAAAGGTTATAGTAACCACACTCGTCAAGTAAAGCAAGCCGGTTTTATTAATGGCACTTCTGATATAAGTATAATAATAATATCATCACAAACTTCAAAAGAAATCGCTGTAAAAAAAAACTCTGTAAAAAACGCTGTTAAAACATTGTTTAATGTATGGCACACTCCATAGCTGCTTTTGGAGTACTTTTCCACATTACGAGTCGCATTCTGATGCGATCCGAACCCTTTTGCACGTTCGACCCAAACCGGAGAAGCGACTGCCTTCCACAACGCCAGACAGAATCCGACCCTGAACAGATGGCCAGTCTCTTGTGTCTGCGTCTAATGCAATCCTGATCGTCTCTTTTACTAACATTTTCATGTCGTTGTTTTCCCTCTAAAATGTTTACGTTTCCCCAGGCTGGAGAGCAGTCGGCGCATTCATTCAAATATTTGGCTACTTCCGAATTCGGATCCTTGGTTTTTACATTTCTTTTATGCTCGGTTCACCATTGAAAAAAAAAAAATGTTGGAAACAATTAGAGGCGGCGTAAGCAATGGGTGACTTAGCCCACGTTCCGCTGGAGGGCCGGCGACCGGACGGCCTGAAGCTTTTGGCGCCCTCTAGGGGCAGGCGGAGAAAACATAGGTTCGCCGTTCCGACGGGGCGAGGAGAGGAGTCTTCACACCTAAAGAGCCTTCCTACACCGTAGCTCTAGTGAAGCCCAGTTCCCAGGTCATCTCATAGATGGCGCCGGCATGCCAGTGCATTCTCTTGCCATAAGAGGTCACAAGAACTCGGTCCTAAGCAAACGCGAGTTTGTACATGCCTCAAGGCACAAGAAATTTGAAGGCTTAATCGCAGTTTGAGCAAGCTTGATCCGTGATCCAAGCGTGCTTTACCAATCTCCGTAAAGCGTGCCTTCCGTATTGGTGCCATCCCCAGTGTTTTTTAACGCAAGAACAATTTTTTTAGCCGAATTACGCACACCACGCAACAATGTAAGTTCAAGCACAACCTTGGTGCTTTTTTAGCTTTTTTTTTCTTTTCAAAAGCTTATTGGCATATCAAAAGTTATCACTTGGGTTAGTACGTCGACTGAGTACTTTCCACCACTGGAGTAGTTCTGATAATAATCTTAAACGCCCAGAGAAAAAAAAAAAAACAACATAAAACCGGCAATGGTTTGTGGCAGAACTTTATCCGGGCGAGCATGAATGGAATCTGGGTCCTGTATAAAACTTTAGTAATTCAAGCCAAGATCCTCGGTTTTATCCAAGGAAAAGCTAAAAAAAACTCAAGAAAGGTCACTGTATAAAGAAGAGACCATACTACAAAAGCGGAAAAACTAACGCGCTAAAACTTGTCTTGAACACTATAGGTACAAATTTCTTCTCACAAAGCCGGTCAAATTACTCCGAAAGCATCTCTTGCGGCTATTTGAACCACCAGGAGAGATAACCCGCGTTGGCCGGCAAACCGGCCCAGGTGGACTGCATGCGTGAATAGCCAGCAAACCGGCCCCGAGTGGGCGGCCCGACTAACCGGCAAACTGGTCCAGGTGGGCTGCGTGATTGTCAACCGGGAGAACAGGATCGTGGGGACCGGCTACAACGGCATGCCCAACGGCATCAGCGACGACGAAATGCCCTGGGGAAAGACGAGCAACTCACCTGTCGACACGAAGTATCCCTTTGGTGAGTGCGGATAATGCGGGCAGGCCCTTGCCTCAAAGTGGGACGCTGCCGACTAGAATGAATGATGCCAGTATGGAAGCAGTTTACACTAGGGAGCCTTCACATGAAGGCACCCTAGTTTACACAGCTGCACGCCAGTTGAAAAGTCGTCGGGTTCTGAGAAACCCCTGTGGGTCGACCCACGTGCGGTTGCACCGGAGTCGTTGTCACACGCGGTGCGGGAAGGGGTGGGCGGTGAAGGGCTGCGCGTAATTCGAGGAAGTGCTAATTGCATCCGGCTGTTTTGTGAACGTGTTGTGTGGTACACGCTGGAGGCGTGGAGGCATGTGTGTGGACTAATAAGAAACATTATTTCATGTTTGGAGGCACGTGTGTACAGGCTGTTTTGCGATTATGTTGTGGAGAACGTGCGGAAGGCACGCGAAGTCGGTATCCGAGCGTAAGCAAAGATGAAACATTGTTCTATTTGTGCTGGCACACATGTGTGCAAGCTGCTTTTTGATTAAGTTACGTCGAATACGCTGCAGACTTGCAAAAACCGTGTGCGAGCAACAGCAGATGGAGGCAGATACAGGGTGTTTGTGTAAATGCTAAAAAAATAGAAACTTCCATTGGAAATTTCTTTTTTTTTTTAGCCCCTTGGTTGTGTTTGCAGTTTGATGGGCCATTAAATAAAGAGATGAAATTGGTTCCTTAGATAGCTATTTACCATACTATCTCGAGAGATAGACCACCTGAATTTCATAGCAAATTGAGTGAAAATAAGGGGCAAGCTAACTTTCGGTATGCCATAAAAAAAGTTTTAAATTTTGTGACCCTTTGAAAGTTGTGATTGCAGGGAAGGGTGCGATGAAGCAAAGACAACTCTCCTTTGCAGTCAGCAATGTTCGCTCATCTCCCGCTGTGGTTTAAGTAACACAGTTCTTTTTCGGGTCACTATTGGCCAGGGCCCTGCAATTACTAGAAGTGGGCTATCTTTCGGTGTTTCAGAAAAAATAGCAAATCGCGCCAAAAGTAGGGGTGGGCTATCTTTCGGGTGTGGGGCGTCTCGGGACATTACGGTAACTGAAAAGATTCAATAAACTTTTCGAATTGTTCAGTTTCTGAGAAATAACGCGGTTGCAGAATTGCTGCTCAGCCTCATTATAATCCAACTGTGAGGACATCAATGCCTGTGACGCCGGTTATTATAATTTCTTTCTTTAGGCACAAGTAGGCCTCGTTAAATGCCTTTAATTGTAATTGAAAGAAAAAAAAGAAGAAGAAAATACGGAAGCTAGGCTGACGTCAATGTGGGCTTGCGTATGCCAGCTCTGCTTTTATATACACACTGGGATGTCAGGAGCATTCTTGATAAGTATGCACGATAAGCGTCGATCTTGCTCTGGAACGTTCCGGAGAGGCAAAGAAAGGTAAAATTAGAAAGACCGGTTTCCTATACACAAAATGTATCTTTAAAAAAAAGCTGCGCAATGTTGATAGCTCGGTTTCTGCTCAAATGTAGTGCTAGCAGTCCAGGTTAAATGCCAAAGTTTCGAATGCGTCGACCATTTTGTTATTGAAAAGTTCTGAAAATCGGCGATGAATTTTGAAATGGGAAAAGCGGCAAACTTTGAAACTTTGACATTATGTCCTGACCGCTAGCTCTAGGTTTGGGGGGAAACCAAACGTTTAAACATGTGCAGCTTCTTTTTTTTTTTTTTTTTTATTGGTGAAAAAAATTTTTTTTTATCATCGACACATGGCACCTACGTCAGGTGGTGCCGGCAAGGCAACACGTGTGACCATACATCAACACCTGTTGTATTGCCGAAACGTTTATTGCGTTACAAAGCGGCGACAGCTTTACGTCGCAGCAAGTGTTCCCAGCCTTTGTATAAGGGTGCCAGATTACCCACATTTCTGACAAAGCCTGCCGCGTTCCTGCATATTTTTTTTTTCCGCACGGAAATGTTTTTTTAACGAGATTTGTCTAACCCGCAGAGGTGGGAACTGATAGAAAAACACAGAACTTCCATTCAAAAGTGTAGCAGTTTAAAGTGTCTTGAATTGGGTCAAATCGGTATCCACGGCCTACCATGTTTCGTTGCTGTGCACCTTTACTAAAATTCCCCTTCCCACCCCCCCCCCCCCCTAAAAAAAATTGTTTAAAGTATTTGGATGGGGCACGTACGTTACGAAATGAATGTTAATAAAAAAACAGGAAAAAAAAGTATTTCAGTGCATTTCTGAAATTTTTTTTTTCATTTTGGGGTCAACGTCTCGAAATAGACTCACGTTTGCAAGTCTCCTGATGTAAACCTTGTCCTTGGTAATTTCCTTTTTTTTTTTTAATTTGTTTTGTGACGCATGTCACATAAGTGCTCAACCCGTAGGAGCCACACACTTTAAAAAAATTCAACGTTATCACTTTTATGTTTATTGATTACATAAGTCAGTCTTTTTTTCTTTTTTGACTGTAACATTTTATCTGGTTTGTTACAGGGAGAGCTGTCGTCAGAACGTGCGAAATAAGGCTCATCCCCAAAGCTTTGCGTGGGAATAGTGACGCACGCCTGTCGTATAGTTGCACCATCGTTCCAAAACTTGTCGCTCCTCCCGTCTTTTTTTATTTTTTTGTGTGTTCTGTACTTTGTCCCATTTCCTTATTCTTTCGCGTGTGAATTAAATTTCTCCCTTTCTTTTTGCAGTGTGTCACGCCGAAATGAACGCCCTGTTCAACCGCAACTGCTTTGACGTGCATGGCTGCACGCTGTACTCGACGCACTTCCCGTGCAACGAGTGTGCCAAGATGGTGGTGCAGTCGGGCATCGGCCAAGTTGTCTACCTGCAAGATAAGCACCCCAAAGACGCCCCTTACGTTGCATCTAGGCTCCTCCTCACCAAGGCAAAAATCCCCTTCCGGTGCGTCTATTGTGAGCGAAAGATTTAAGGGGGTGCTACACCACATTCATGGTCATAACCTAAGGGCTCTAAGCATCCTAAAATACCAAACATTACATTCACATGTGGCCGATTTTTCTATAAAAACCGGCGTCAAATATCAATGCAGAGAGCAAGTCGTCTGCTTCTTGTGTGGCAGCTGCGGTGACATCAAAATGATGTAGAGATCCGATTGGCTTTAATTGAAAAGGATAGTGGGTAGACCTCAATGCTAGGTTCCTTAAAGGGCCCATGAAACGAATTTCGGTTTGGGATAAGTCATTTTAGATTGGGATTTTACTAATAGCACATCGTTCAGTCGCTTCTGGTCAAGAGATCCAACGAGTCAAAAGATCCAACGAGTCAAAAGGTCCAATAATGGATCTTTTGACTCGTTGGATCTTTTGACTCGCCAGACACGAGTCAAGAGATCCAATGTGGGTCAAGAGGTCCAACGAGTCAAGAGATCCAACGAGTCAAAAGATCCACGGCGAGTCAAGAGGTCCAACGAGTCAAAAGGTCCAACGAGTCAGAAGATCCAATAATTAATCTTTTTACGCGTTGGATCTCTTGACTCGGCAGACACGAGTCAAGAGATCCATTGTGGGTCAAAAGTCCAATTACTCGAGAGCTGCTGCTTCATATTGCAAAGAGTTCACGGAAAGCCCCTCACCACTCCTCTCTTTCCCTAGTCGCGGGGAGGCGTTGTACAATAAAGATCAGTAAGCGACTTGACCTTAGTTGTTGTATAAAAAAAAAAGTGAAACAGATTTAAATTTGATGCGCCGCTCAACTACGCACCGTTTTCCGATTAACGGCCCGAAAACCGGCCCGAGAGGGCACCGGGAGACATCCAGTGTGGTGTCTCTGACAACGGGAAGTGGGGAGAGAGTGCTTTTCTTCAGCTCGGGTAGATGGCGCCTATCAGGCTTTTGACGCGTCTGTTCACGTTTTCACGACAACATTTTTTTTTTAATTAACCTCCAATCAAGCATACATTTACTGAGCTTGCCAACTCAATACACTTTCAACCAGTTCACGTCACGCGCGTAGTTTTCTTGGCTGACACAAGAGGCTGCAGGACGGAAAATAGTCCCCTTCCTCTTCACAATTTCTCCGGACATTGGCAAAACTTTAAAAACTCAAAATGTGTTGTTGTTTTTTTATTATTAAACGAAGGTAAAGCGAAGGTGACAGGCACCAGAATCTTTAACACTAAATTATTTCATGGCCTCTTTAAAGGGGTCATGAAAAGTTATCGGATCGTAACGTTCATGACCTTGCCGGTTCGTACTGGTCCCAGCTTGGCACAAGTATACTCGCACAGACCGCCACTGATTCAGAAACTTCTTTGTCGCGGTGAAATTGTGAAAGTGCGAAGATAAAAGGGCGCTACTGCTTTCAGTCTTGCCTTTTCAAAGCTGGATGACGTGATTGTGGAATCGAAACCACGGGACTGACGACAGTCGATTTTATTTAGCAGAAGTAGGAAAATCGTTTCAAGGCTCCTTTAGGATGCGCCTTAAATGGCCACTTCGAAGAGAGGAACTCCCGATAATTCACCGGTTCTTTCCGTGCAGGTAAGATATCGAACTTGGCCAATTGGAAGGCAGTATGACAAAAAATAATTCAAAATAATAATTTAAAATACATATATTGTTTAAAGGCGGGTTGATATTATGATCAACTTTTCCTTTCTAATAAACTTTCAAGTTTGATATAAGGTATATCAAAATTTAAATTAGGATTTGATACGCGGTTCCAGTAATGGATCATGGGATGCAAGGTTCCATATATCTCGCGGAAATGTGGAAGGTACGAAGTTGTTTTTTTCTCGGCTTTGTTACGTGCGAACAAAATAATTCCGTTTGCACGGACAAAATTTACTAGGTGCCGTAAAAAAATATATACATATATATATACGTATTATCGCAATACATCAAAAGACAAATAAAAGGGGTACTAGGGTCCTTCTCCTACTATAAAAGTCTAAAATGCCTCGAACACAAAGGTGTGGCAAGGCGTCGCGCGGAGCGAGATGTCCCGTGACGCTCTCGGCCTAGGCTGCGGTCAATCCTTCGTTTGCTCGAAGCTGGTTCACTCTAATACCCCTGTTACACGGACACACTTAACCGCGGTTAACTCAGCTTAACTGCTGTTCCGCGGCACCGCAGATACCGCACTATACTCTCTGACAGCTATTTCAGAACAAGTGAAGAGCGCGCGCGCACTGCTTCGATAGATGCTCAAGAGGCTCAAGCGCAAGTTCGCCCCTTTGACTGCATAGCCGCAGAATGTTGTCCGCAAGTATTGTGCGCTATCTGTGGTTAGCGTAACTGCAGTTAAGTGGGCCCGGGGTATAACAGCGGTTGGAAGTTAAGGCTGCGGTACCACGGCGGCCATCTTGAACAAAACATTAGTTGAACCACCAGGGCGGCGTTGGCTGTCCGTATGAGCAAATGCTGCAAAACCTGCGCGCCAATTTCGAAACCCTTTTTCCCGTCGCTTGCGACCTTGAGTTTCCTTCTCCACTCTTACGCCCCTCCTTTCACGTGTTCACCCTCTGGCGCGTCGCGCCCACGTTCATTGTTGGGAGGACAATGTACCGGATAATCCCCAACTTGAGGCCCCCTGCCAAAATTGTCCGGCTGCCAAGTGATTTGAGCGAGATGGGGTTTTGAAGCGGTATGGAAAAGTGGGACCGTCAATTTTGAACTATGCCTTTTCGATACTGCATTAGTTGTGTACGGGGCTGGCCAATGCACGGGCGCGAGGACGTAACTGTATACAATGTTTGGGTTGCAGGAGCACTCGCGCGTAGAAATGGTAGGACGCGCTTTCTGAAATCACACGCCTACATTCCGCAGCGTTGCAATCCTACGAGTAAAACAGAGTACATCTTCGGACAGTGCGTGAGTTGATGCCGGCCGTACGAAAGACACACCTCGCGCTTCCTGTCACTACTGCCTCTGCTTGCACGCGCTGCCGATTGGCGGTCCTTTCTTTATTTTGTTTCGTCGCTCTTTTGAAAATACTGAAACTAATATTTTCTCAGACCCTGCTCATCGTACCTCTGCACTACAGTTGTGTAAACACGTTGTGATGTAATTTGAGATATGGGACGGAGTGTCTACATTCTTATTTCGTGTGTAATGCCGGCATAATATTCCTTTGCTGCCAGAGGGTCAAAATAATGGTAGGGTCGGCAGCAAAAACTATTTCAATGACCGAATTATGATCAAACACCAGTAAGAACATAAAAAAGAAATCACATGGGGACAATAAAAATATTGCTACAAGAGGATGGTGCGTGGGGCACAAAAAATATTCGGAGTGACGTTGAGGGCACGCGACAAGCCAGATCTTTCCTGATGGCAGCCGTAAAAGTTGATCTGGTGCCTCGTTTTGATCGGCTTTGCACGGAAACTCGTAAACTACCAACTATCTTGTCAGTGGTGAACATAGTGAGCATGAACTGGATGATTTTTTTGGTGTTGTTTTTGTTTCTGTAGTGAGAGTATGGAAATATGAGACGTCCGCTGACGCTTGCGTCGGCTAGCGGAACCTCAATCGCCGATCGCGGCCGATGTCATGGGCGTATACAAATACATCAAGTCGTCTGGGCGGGAGCAGTTGAAGCGCCGCACTTTTTTGGCCGGTCAGTAGAGACTCCGCGAATTCTGACTCGAGGCTACTCTGTGCGGAGGGAGCCGCTACTGAGCGCGACCAATCGGAAACCAAGGATGGCTGAAATTTCCTAATTGCCATGAGATTTGCAAATTCGTTCTTCCCGCCGTAGTAAATTCGTCCGAATCGCTATTCGATTTCCTAATCGATTATTTGGATGAAAAGATATATTTCAAAATTCGTACGTGGCTCACCAAATGGCAATAAAATTGGTATAGGATTTCAAACCTATATAGTGTCGCCCTAATTTACAAACTTGTTTCACTTGAAATTAGAGTACACGCGCAAGCGAGCTGGTGGAAGCCTATACTAAAAAGGCCAGAAACAAGAGAAACAAAAAATAAATAAATAAGAGCGGGATAAGCGCAACAGTCTCAAATCACAGCTGAAAATGGTTACTTGGTAAGTGTAAATGTCCAGACATTGTATTAGTAAAATGTATATATATATATATATATATATCTATATATATATATATATCTATATATATATATATATATATATATATATATATGTATATAAAGTCACAAATGCGTACTGTCGGAGTTATTAATTCGAAGTTCATTCCGACGTTTCGAGCGGGGACCGTTCTTCATTAGGTGATGAAGAGTCGTCCCCGCTCGAAACGTCGTAGTAAAGTTCGAATTAGTAACTCTGACAGTACGCATTTTTGCCTTTGTATATATATATATATATATATATATATATATATATATATATAGAGAGAGAGAGAGAGAGAGAGAGAGAGAGAGATAGATAGATAGATATTTTTCACTATTTGCTGACGGCCGAAACTAACTATGCAACACAACAAGTAAAACCACAGAGCTGCCCCGCCTCATATCACCCTCAGTTGGAGCTCGACTGACACATTGCGCCGATCAAGCATCACCAACAGCTCAACACCTAAACGCCACGGCGTTCACTATCTTTGTTTGGGTGATTCCACCCACTAATGTAACAACTCATACAATGCGCCGTGATAAAGTGCTTTTTGTCTTTGTGTATGTGTTTTTGTGACATCTAACCTCTGTTTGCGCTCTGACTAAGAATGAAACCATGTATACTAAAACGGGATACGGTCCATTCGTCACATGCGCACTCGTCACAGGACGATTGGTCACAGGACGATTCGTCACACAGGAACATTCGTCATAGGATGACTCGTCACGCGGCCAACCGGTCCTACAATAGTTCGTCCCCCCAAAATGTGTCGTTCAATTTGGTTCCAGCGGACGAAGTGGCTCACCTCATATTTTAGTATGTCTGTGGCTTCTGAAAGGCAAAGAATTTGT